TCAACTCAAATTGTGAAACTCATGTATTAAATAAATTCAATGCACACAGACTGAAGTAGTTTAAGTCTTTGGTTCTTTTAATTGTGATGAATTTGGCTCACATTTAACAAAAACCCACCAATTCACTATCTCAACAAATTAGAATACTTCATAAGACCAATAAAAAAAACATTTTTAGTGAATTGTTGGCCTTCTGGAAAGTATGTTAATTTACTGTACATGTACTCAATACTTGGTAGGGGCTCCTTTTGCATGAATTACTGCATCAATGCGGCGTGGCATGGAGGCAATCAGCCTGTGGCACTGCTGAGGTGTAATGGAAGCCCAAGTTGCTTTGATAGCGGCCTTCAGGTCATCTGCATTGTTGGGTCTGGTGTCTCTCATCTTCCTCTTGACAATACCCCATAGATTCTCTATGGGGTTCAGGTCTGGTGAGTTTGCTGGCCAGTCAAGCACACCAACACCATGGTCATTTAACCAACTTTTGGTGCTTTTGGCAGTGTAGGCAGGTGCCAAATCCTACTGGAAAATGAAATCAGCATCTTCAAAAAGCCAGACAGCAGAAGGAAGCATGAAGTGCTCCAAAATGTCTTGGTAAACGGGTGCAGTGACGTTGGTTTTCAAAAAACACAATGGACCAACACCAGCAGATGACAGACTGATGCAGTAATTCATGCAAAAGGAGCCCCAACCAAGTATTGAGTACATGTACAGTAAATGAACATACTTTCCAGAAGGCCAACAATTCACTAAAAATGTTTTTTTTATTGGTCTTATGAAGTATTCTAATTTGTTGAGATAGTGAATTGGTGGGTTTTTGTTAAATGTGAGCCAAAATCATCACAATTAAAAGAACCAAAGACTTAAACTACTTCAGTCTGTGTGCATTGAATTTATTTAATACACGAGTTTCACAATTTGAGTTGAATTACTAAAATAAATGAACTTTTCCACGACATTCTAATTTATTGAGATGCACCTGTAGTAACAACACTGAATGTAGTTTAAAATAATCAGTCTCCACGGGAGCTGGCAAACTTCAGTTTATGATTTCGCTTTTGTTTATCCAAATCTAATTGGCTAATATTGCTGTTGTATATGCAGGATTCCCACACCTTTTGAACAATTAATTTACATTTGTAAAATGCGTGATATTTTCACATTTTTCCATGACAGTGGGGAACACTGCATATGTAATTATTTTAAGGTCTTGCCATTTTGTTGCATTTCAAAGGTTGCTGAGAATCCATGAACAAAATCTCTTTGACTGACAATAACACAAGAGTGACGCGTTTGCATGGTAGCATGCTGACATCACCCTACATCAATACAACAATCCACAAAAACATCTGGAAAATTTCCAGCTCATTATTATTCTGACCGTGGGTGACTATACCCTCTGCCATTTTGTCCTCATTTTGGAAAATTTTGTACCACTATCAAGTCACTGTTCCTCATTTCCCCCATTCAAGTTACTGTTCTCAATGTTAAGGGACTGTTTGTGAACATTATCATTCTGAATGGCCTTTTTATTTAAGGCGTCTAGAGGACACTGAGTTTCCTTCTGCACATCCAGTGAGCACTTGGATACTGCGCTGGCTACCTGGCAGAACTTCCTCAGAAGAATCTCTCTCAGGAGCAGGTAAACCCATGGATCCAGAATCTGATTGAGAGAGGCCAGGCGTATGGCTGTGAGAAAGAAGTTACAGTCCATCTGTAAGTCCTGGGATGAGAGAGACACAGCAGCAGAATTGCATTGATGCGAGGATGTGTGGGTAGAGATCATCTTTAACATAAGGACCTGCAGAATGGGAGGAGACACACCACAATGGCAATATTATATGAATATTGTTTTCTTCAAGATTAAGAAAAATATACATGTGCTTATAGACTTCTAAAGACTGCTCAGCAGATTTCTGTATAAACAGCAGTTATTTGCTAAATTTACACCCCTTCGGGTTTGTTTTTTAAAACATTCTGGCTAATTTCAGAATGTTTTTAGCTAGCTACCAGTAAAAGTTCTGTACTCTCAGATCCAGGCAATGTTTTGCTATAAATATTATTTTTAAAATAATGTTTAGTAGCCTATATTGTGATCAGTTTATACTGGATATGAATTGACTAAAATTGGACAAGTAATTGTGCATTATGTATTTCCCCTATTTTTACATTTAGATTACCTTTGTCATCATTTAACACCTAATATTTAAAATCACAATTTAATAACTGTTGCATTTTATCTTTAGAAGAATTTTTCATACTCTACATGATAATGTTAATGCTTAAAATGACCGATTACTCTTTTTTTGGGGTGTTATCTTTTTCCTCGTTTATTTATGCAACATTTTACAGACTTTAAATATCTGCCATTTATCATTACCAGCCATAATATTTCCAACAGTTTCCACCTATTCCACAAAATCCTTTTTTTCCCCTTGTTCCAGTCAGAAAATATGAATTTACATATTCCATGTGGGCCTATATTTTGAAATGACATAACTGGGAAGAAATGACAAGACTCAAGACTGACAAAAGAGCCTTTTTTTGGATACAGTCTAGGGAAAAAACCCAGTGTAAACAATAATCTCAAATAACTGCTCAAAAACATGAAAACATAAGTAGTGACCCTCCAACATGTACGGTACTATTAAAACACTTGGCCTGCTGAGTTCACCTTTACATTGAATTCATATATTCTGTTTAATCCAATATAAATAGCAGCATTTTGTAGCTGGGCACACTTAGGTTTGAGCAGGAATGACAGCATGCATGCTTTCATCTGATAACTACAGTAAGTGCATCTGGCAAAAGCTGATATGATACATACCAGTAGAGGTGACCAGCATGTCAACAGCACACACATAATGCCCATCAACTGAATAACAGTCTCGGTTGTTAACCTCTCCCATTGCTTGGATGACTGGGTCGAGGTTGCCTTCGTTTTGCAACGTATAACCAAAGCACGGATGGTCACAACATTACACGACAACGTGACCAGCAAAGAACATATCCCCAATGCCGCAAAAGTCGTGGCAAAAAATGTATTTCCCGTTACGTCCTTGTCACCTGTACTTATGAAGCACCAAGTGCCTGGCCACTGCAAAGTATACTTTCCAACCCCAGCAACGGGCAGCAAGGCAAACAGCAAAACCAGGCACCAGATGATGACCAGAACCTGCTTGGTCACGCTGGTTTTCATGTAATGTGAGTACCAGTGAGGAGCAGTGATGGCCAAGGCCCTCTCAACGGCCATGGCACTGGCTAAAAAGAGTGGACACAAGCCAAAAGTGGTCATGCACACCCCAAAGAAAGCGCACAGAGTTCCCGAAGGGTCCACGCGTTTCCATTTCAGATCTGCTCTGTACACCGAAATGACAATCGGAGTTGTGAGCAGTTGGCCGAAAAGATCAGTTAACGCCAAAGAGCCGATGCAAAGCAGAAACGATTTCTTCCTTTTATTTTCTTTTTTTCTGTATGCACTATAAACTAGCAGCATCGCGAGAGAGTTTCCGACCATTCCAGTGACCATCATAGTGATGGGAAAAAACACGGACACAGAGCCACAGCTGGAGCTTTTGCCTGCGCCGTCCTGTGAAGATTTGGAGTGGTTCGACTCCCACATCATGGTTCCAGCAGTCAGGTTTTGCAACAGGACATCTGAAGACTGACATTTAGATGTCATCCTTTTTCAGGAAGAGTGTTCATGGCCACAGCAGCCTTTGAAACAAGTGGAGTCCTCCTCAGTGAAGTCCGCTTGACATCTGACTCACTTTGAGCGCTCGGCTGTCCGACAGCGCGCTATAAACAGAGGAGGGACCCGCATGGAAATGTAAAACATGCTCAGAAAGACAACTGAAAAACAGCGCAAGATACATAAAGAATATCTTAAACGCAAAGGATAAAATATTGTTATATGTAGATATATAGATAAATGTTGTTTAGTTCTTTATTTTTTTCTGCTCTATGGTTTCATTCCCAAGCAAATGGAACACATTCGTTTTAGTATGACTGTAGGATTTAAACTTCTGACAAAACGTAGTTATAACAATTAAGCGTTGTAGCGAGAGTGCGTAACATTGCCTACGATAACTTTCAGTGGGTAGGCTATACTTTTTTTTTACATTTTTAAATAGATTTTAGAATTAACTAAACTATCGCTAAATGTATTAAACACAATATTGATTTTGGTCATATATAGGTAAATCTTCAAACAAGGGATAAATAATAACGGTTAATGCTTTATTCTAACATAACCCCCCAAACCACCAGCTCACAGATGGGTTTGAACGCAACAAGTGCCACCTAGCGCTTGAAAAACGATCTTTTCAAAAAGATTATCATTAGTGTCTGCAGTGCAGGTGTATTTTTGTCTATCAGCAATGGTTAGTAATTCACACACGACTAATACAATTCTATTCTATAAAGTAGACGAGGAAAGGAACACATTGAACAAGTTTCTGATTAATGTACCAGTATAATTTCACTAACATCACTAGAATTCCCCACAAGTAGAAGTGTGGGATCATTAAAACATCAGTCTTTATAGGTTTTACTTGCAGGAAGTAAGAAAAATACAAATAAAATCTAGAGATAATTCAATAACAGATGGAACATACATCTAGAGGAAAAAGTTCTCTAGACATCATCACCCAATGCAATGCAGTAACATGGAAAGATACAAACCGTATGTTTCAGATTAACAAGTGTTTATTCATGTTGGTTACACTTATGCAATTTTAATGAACAGTAAAACATTTTCATATTTTGTATGTTAGAATAGGGAGGGTGATTATTTCACATGTTCCAAATTTGATTTGACCACAGAAGAGAAAACCAATCCAGTAATTTGTTATTAGTAATTTGAGTTTGTCCACTTGAGTCATCTAGTTTCTTAGTTCCACAAATGATAGATCATAAAAGTTTTACACACAAAAAAGAAAACCTGACAAAAGGATACACAAAAATTTCACATTTCATCTGTCTTGCCCAAAGAAAATAAATCTCTACAAGTATAGAAAAAAAACATACTTACCTTTAACGCACACAATTAGACAAGGCAATGTTACGCCTCAGAAGAAAAGCTCAATATAATATGCTGGCATTTTTGAGGTGGTTAAGTAATGTTTAAGCCATCAACATTTCTTGTGAGGAGTTCCATATAAAATAACTATAAAACCAGCATCTGAGCACTTTTTAATTCAGCATAAATGTTTTGCTAATGAACTGCTTATTCTGACGGCAATAATGTCTGACAATGGATGAATAAAACTACTTTAGCAATATAATTTGCATAATTTCCCAACAAAATGGTTGATGTCCAGAAGATATGCGCCATTTATAGTCACAGACTTGATGTTATTTCTCTATAAACCCACGGACACTACAGACTTTACACCTCGAGTTATACTGTTTAGAGATTTGGCTAGATGTTTAAAAAAAAAAAAAGAAAGAAAAAAAAAAAGGGCAGAAAACTTTTAAGAGATTACGTGAACAGGTGCGTAAGTATTTTTTTTCATAGAAATCAATGTGAATTCAAACAGTTGGGTAGTTGCAATAGCCCAAAAAACTGGAGTTTGAAAAACAAAAACCAAACCAAAAAAAAAAAAAAAACATGCAGTTTTAGAAAGATTTGTTTCTTTTGTTAATCATTTCTGTTTTGCGCTTGAGCCAGAGTGGGATGATCCAGATGAGCCTCTGCGTCTACAAAGAGATAGAAAGAAAGAGACAAAGAGAAAAGACCATGACCGATTAAATGATTTGGTTCTTGAAATCAAAACAAAGCATAAAAAAATGTATTGTACAGAGAAAAGCGCAATTTTGTCACATTGTTTAAAAAAATGTACTGCTATATCACTGAGCCCTGTGTATAATGCAGAAGGACGCCTGGTATCCAGGACACCATGTGTTACACCAAACCTTTCAGACGAGTGCGATCGCGCGCGTCTTTTTTTGCGGCCACCAGAGGAGGACCTGGAGCGACTCCTCTTCTGGCCTCCCTCAGGTGATGAGGAAGGGGAGCGACACCTCTTCTTTGAGGAAGCAGAGCCCTTTCCTGATCTGGAGCTGGATCTTTCAAAGGGGATAAATAAGCATTCCCATGAGGTCAACAAATATCATTGGACAGATTACTATAATAACATTATCAAAGGAACTGAAATGGGAGGAAAACATCCCCCAACGTCTCTAAATACTACAGTAAATACAAAAAATTCTTTAAAAGACCAAAACTGCAGGTCTGACCAACTGAACTTTCAGAAGAACAAAGCTGAACCCGTCCGAGAGAATCAGTACAACTTACAGCCCTAATTGCCTGCTAGATGTCACAGCGTAACCAGATAAATTGAGGTCTGGGACACGGAATAATCAACAGCTCCAGAACATTTTAAACAAGCACAAAAAAAGTTCTTGACACCTTTGAAGAACAAAAACATTCCCAAAGAGATTAAGCTAAATCTCATTGCTCCTCACAGCACCCTCATTTAATACTTTATTTATTTTATGGTGATCAAAAGTCGACTTCTGTTCCGACTCAGAAGGACAAAGAGTTCACTACAACAACCACTGGCTGTTTATACACACACACTCTCCTGGAGAGTGCATGTGACCTCATTCACCTGGAATTGGACCTGGAGCGAGAACGAGATCTGGAACTGGATGAGCTCCTGGACCGGGATCTGCGAAACACCGACATCAAAAAAACAAACAAACAAAAAAAACAAAAAAACAACAAATTTCTAATTTTTCCATGAATGTTAAGATCCTCTGGTGAAAACCCAAGAAAAATAAGTGTTAAAAAGATCCGCTTTGTCTTTTTTTAAAGGCTTTAAAACACTGGTCAAGTTGTGTTGATGGCATGAATTACTTGTAAATAAATTGAACAGTAATGAACATCAAATTTTATACTGTCATGCCAATCAAAAAGGCAATTAAAATGAAAATGATTAAAACAGAATTATGCAATGAGATTTGAACAAAGATTTGAGCTGATACTGACATTTGCCTGGAGTTACCCTTGACCTGTACCCTTTTACCTGGACCTAGACCGGGAACTTGAACTGGACGAGCGAGATGATGACCGCGAGGAGCCGGAGCGACTCCCTTTCTTTTCATCACTAGCATCCAAATCGTACTTGGACAAATCTGCATCATCTTCATCATCCTAAAAGGATTAAGATCAAAAGCACATCAAAAACTGTGATGGTAGGTTTATATATCTGCTCCAAAGATTTTTTTTTACATAGCATCATATTGCGATTTTTCAAATCTGTTCTTTATGACTGACTATTGCAGTCATTTTACAATCGACAATGTGGTCAATAATTTCAGACAGCAACAAATTAGGGGACCACTAACATAGAACTAAATAATAAAATCTCTTACGTCAAGTTTGTATTTTGAAAGATCTCCGTCTTCATCATCATCATCATCTTCGTCGTCTTCATCACCACCATCATCATTTTTTTTTGGTTCCTCTTTCTTTTCATCGTCCTTCTTGCTTTTTCCACGATACTTCTTTTTTATGCGCCCAAACTGTCCATAAGACCAACAAAAGTTTTAAAATTCAAGAAGTGTTCGTAAACTATACGCATTGTGAAAATGTCATCTGTGTGTACTTAAAAAACAAAAACAAAACACTGACCTCATCATACTCGCCATCAGACTCCTCTCGCTCATTGTAGACTAAATTCTCTCTCTCATTGAACCCTCCACCATATCCTGTTACATGCATCAAGCATATGACATTAAACAAAACTCATAAGGTTTGCTGTCAATATGCAAAATAATTCACGCTAACATTCCATTTTGAACAAAGACAAAGCTATACCTGTCCTTTCCTCCAGTTTGGCATATTTAGGGGTGTTACACATGTTGCACTCTGATCTTCTGGCCCAGTTTACATTGCCACACCTAGATTTAAAGCAAGAACAAGTACAGCTATTAATAACACTGGTATATTAGGGTCTCAAATTCATAAACAAGAGAATGAGAAGAGGGCCCTTGGGTTATTTAAAGAGTGGATCAACTCTCAATAGTGGTATGAAGTATTGAGTATCAAAATTGGCCTTCTTTTAGTCAATGTCGTTTCAGAACTAAACAAGAAAAGGGGTGATCAACCTAAAGAAACTGAAAAAAAAAAAGAGTAAATTCTTGTCATTAATAGCATATAGTCCAATATGGGTTGGATTTGGAAAAATCCAGTCCAGAGGTGCATTTCCCAAAAGCAACTTTGGTTGCAAGTTCCATTGTTACCAATACAATTCTATGGAACTTATGACCCTAGTTAGTTAACGATACTTTTGGGAAATGCACCCCAAGACAGCCACTGCCCTGCGAAGACTTCTAGCTGACTTTTAGCTGAAGACTTCTGTGCCCTTCAATTGGAGCTGAAAACACCATAATATCGTTTGAAGCACATTAATGGCAAAGTGAAGTCATATTTGCAACATTTTTTACAAGTGATCTATAAGACGACTGCCCCCTAGTGTGATTAGGGATGGAGCTAAACTCTGCAGACAGGAAAAAGTGGTTGAATTATAAGCAGCACTGCTCAAAAAGCTTTGTGACATGTCACTTATTTTTTTTACTTCAACATTTTCAAGTGAACCGACCCCATTCATTGCTCTTCGTGACAGGATATCATTACACTGTGTACATTATTCTGCTCCATTAAGCAGGTTGAACGGTGTAGGATTCAAATGAGAAGTAAAATATGAAGAAGTCAGAAGGAATGGTTTCCTTTAATGTCACTGAAACAAATTTAAAAGAAATGCTGTTGATGTAGAAGGGTAAGAATGGCTGAAACATTTCACTTCCTGACATGGTATTCAACAGATACTAATTGTGATATTAATCATTTTGAATGTATTTATACTGCACATTGGACGTGTAATTTTATAGCAATACCCACGTTTTGCACTGCCAATCGTTGGCACTGAAGAGACCTTTGCTCTTCTCAGCCAGGGTCTTTCCAATCTCGGTTCCCCCTGCTTTCATCATCTTTGCTTCAGTTGTCTTTTCTGTTTCAAGAAAATTGGCTAATGAGTTCAGACTGATCATGATAAAATACTGTAAGCATGGTGCATGTACTGATACTACTTTTTGTGACACACCCTAATATGCGTAATGACAAACAATTATAACCCACTTACCACTGCCACATCTGTTACAACTCGTTCTTCTGGCAAAGTTGACATTTCCACACCTAAGATATTACAAAGGCAAAATTGGTTAGGTCTCCAGACATTATAAGCATCATTCAACACTCATGCACACAAAACAACAGGCCAACTCACTGACATTTTCAAATAGTGGGACGTTCCATTGGTGAAAACACTGAAATAGATGTATAATTTTTTTCTCTCCAAACATTTCACATAGCCCAAGGCATTGCAACTACTAATGAAGTTAACGTAGTTAGCAATCTGGATTTAGCAGACTCGTGCACGGAGCTACTGACTAACTAACGTTAATCGCTTAACCTAAGAAATATGAGTGTGTAATTTAAAAAAAGTATTTGATTACCAGTGCTCCAGTGGAAAGAAATTAATATATCGTTTAGTTTGGTTAAGGAAAATGAAATGAACGCGTTTAATAGCGGTTACAGGCCCATTCACACACTATAGCCGTGTGCTAAAGCTAACAAATGCTATGCTAAAAGAAACGCGTGATCTTCTCTCAGCCAACATGCATTTTCCCAGAAGGCGTACCTTATAAGTAATGCAAATACATGCTAATATTATTTATTGGGCTTTTAAATAAGGCATTATATAGCGAGTCTTACTTTTCATCAGGACAAACCCAGTCTCCGTCGCTAACGCGAAAACTCTTTCCCGACATGTTCGTCCTCTCAGCTGCCCCCGCCACAAATCCGCCAGAGAAATGAACTCTTTATGAGTATTGGTATGTATTTATTACACCAATACTAGCGTTTGAACCTAAAAGTAAGGCAAAAACAACACTTTACAGAGTGCGAAAGAGCGTATAAAGGAATACGTGCGCTACACTGAAAGACACGGGCTGCGTCTCATTATCTAACCGGCTCTCTCTACCTAGGCAAGTTTTGCACATGATACGCGGGATCCAGACGTCGAAGGTTGCTGTCTAGATAGGTGGCTCGCTAGGTTTTGAACCAGAGCCACAAATTTGACGCGCAGCAGTACTAGCTCCAATTATCATTACATACGTGCAGGGAAGATTTATTTCTAAAAGGATTCAGTTTATCTAAACTACGTGTGACAATTCAAACAGATGATGAAAACAGACCAAACACATTCATTTTAATTCCCTGGATCATTTCATTATGAGACATTTATTTTTCAGAGGCATCAAAAAATTCTAAAACAAGTCAATATTATAACAAATAAGACAAAATATTTTGCCCAAATGCAATATAAAGAAAATGCAGTAGGCCATAAAGCCTATATTATTCTGTATATGCACATGCTAAGTAAAACCAATGACTAATTACGACGACATAAGCTATTATGAACAAAACAAAACAAAAAAACTAAAACCATAAGCCTAAATAAAAGCTATTGAGATATTATTTATTTCATAGCTAGACATTTAAAAAAAATGTCATAAGAAGGTATAACCTATAGGCCTATTTAAAAGGTACATAATTATAACATTATTAAGAACATAGCTGACAAAAAAGTTACATGCATGTCAGTGCTTTTAAAACATTACGTTTTCAGCAGTTTTTTCCATAAGGTCTATATATATAAATCTTTATAAAGTAAGAAATAAGGTTAGCAAAGAATTCTTTTTATGTATGTGGTAGCAAAATAAATAATTGTATAATGCATTTTTATTTACTGTCTAAAATGTCATTCTGAAAATAAAGAAAACACATCAAAGACACAAATGTCAATCATACACACAGTTTTCTGTTATTATAGGTTTCAAAATTCATCTAAAATAATCTTGAGTAAATATAATGATAAAACAAACATGCAATTTCCTGTGCACACAATTACCGTGTGAAATGTTCAGCCAAAATCTTTCCAAAACATACTGAATAAATATAGACAGTATTTTATCTCTTTACGTTTTCACTTTCTCACTTGTGCTTTAAATGTGTCCACTAGATGGCAGATTGTGTTCATCACACAACAGCCTGGAGAATTCGTACATTTGGCAGCATCTACTTCTGTGCTCACTACAGGCTTGTTTCCATGTTAACATTTACACATGCATCACAGTAAAGAGTAAAAATCACAGACCTACATGCCTCTGCCATATGTGAGGGACATGCAGATATCCACAGACGTATGGTGACATATCTCTGAATCTTTCCTTTCAAATGCTAACATTATGCAATACCTCAAACGTTGTGCCAACATTTTGCAGACCTTGGTTCGGTTCGGCATGAAGGCACACACGTTGCTGGGCCAGATGGAGTTGAGACATCCCTCCCACTGCGAGTTCTCAGTCCTGCAGGGACTTAGATAGGACCCATCCTTGCTGGTGCTCACCAAGCTAAGCCTGTCCTCCATTCTCTGCCAAACTCACGCTGTTTCAGAGGTCTCTCGCACAGCTGGTGCATTGCTTATGAGTCAGAATGCCCACATTGTTTTTCAAGTGGAGGTGTTTAAAAATATCTGATGCCCACATTTTACCATGGCCATTTACATAAACACGTTTTTGGAAGGACAGTTTTTTGAAGAATGTTACCTATAAACGTTAAATAACTGAACGCAAAAGTCATGTAAATGGCAAAGCCGTAATAGCAGACTTTATTTAGCATTTACGCCTTTTTAGCTCACAACCTTATATCAAATTGACTTCACAAAACAGCACCAGCCAAGAAAAGATATGTAAATGTATTAAGATTAGCTTTCCTTTCCATGTTTGTGTATGTGTGCATAAAAAGGACAAATACACATTAAAACAGGAGCTCATTGAAATGAAAACAAGAACTTGGATTATGAATAATATATTTCTTTATCAGTAGAATCATAAGAACACACTCTTCTCAAAATACTCCTTTTCAAAATACTACACTTTTCGCCATCCTCATGCCTCCCCTCACCTAGTGCTTTTAAACAATCAATGATAATGTGTTGTCAACACAACTAACAGCCATAATCGATGGGTGCAAATGAGTCTTTGGGCCTGCGAATGTCACTGTCCAGTCTAGTGCTTGGTCATCCTTGGGATGTTCCACTCAGGTGCTTTTTTGACAGTGAAGGGTAACCAACGGAGGTTTGAATCCCTATATGAAGCCACCTGGGATTTCTAGGTCTGACAGATGGTGGAAGCTATTCCTGATAGAAGGGGGTTGTATTACTTTGACACTTTAGTTTAACATCATCATAATAAGCTAATAACAGAACACACACCGATACAAGAAATTATTCCTTCCTTGTGCAATTCAAAGAAGTTTTACGTGCAGCTGCTCTTGTCGAATCAAAGGCGAGATAGCTGAGAACAGCAACAGAGATCTTTTGGTTTGCATGAGTGGATGTGAGGTGCTGTCAGCTTGCTGTGCTCTTATGTAAGAGGTGAGGAGTAGCTCAGGAAAGCTGGCTGCCAGCTGCGCTGGTATTTGGATGAGAGCTCCTGCCTTGTCACCTCATTGTAATCTCTCTAATGCATATTCATTGTCAATGCATGGGAGCAGTTCTCATTCAGAAGGTCATCCGCAGTGGGGATCCATTGCAATGGATTTTTGAGCATTGAATAAGTCAGAGGGAGGACAGCGACACTGGATAAATATTCCCATCTAGATGAGTGCTATCATGTCTTCATTTCTCTTCTCAGAGGTGACCTCATACTCGAAAGCTGTACGGATAATTATGTCATGTACAGTGTAACGTAAAGTGACATTGCATAAGATAAGGCATCCTGCTTTAACGTTATGATTGTGAGGTGAGAAAATTGCATGTCCCATGTCATAACAGAACTACATTATACAGGGAGGTGGAAAAAAGGTGAGCTATATTTATTTAGATATAATATCTTATTATTATATATCTTATTTATTATAGTGAAAATAATGGCCAGAAATGTACCTTTTTTGTCCTGTGGGGGGAAAAAATTAAAAAATTTTTTTCCTTTTTGGAAAAAAACAAAAAGGTTTTTGACACACATATCCATCACTAAACTTCACTTTCTGTTGTAATATATATTAAACATGACAAAAAAAGTACACAAGTACATTGAGCAAGTACATCAGTGTTCGAAACTGTCTCCTTACCTTCAATTCGATTTCGTGGAAAATTGACGCCATTTGTCAGTTTAACACCATTAGTCTTTTCATGGTTACATCGCATTCATTCACAGAAAGAAGAAGACAAAGCTCAAGTGTGTTTGGGGCATCTGTAGCTTGTTCTTACAACAGTTGCTTCAAATTTAAAGGGATAGTTCATCCAAAAATGAAAATTTGTTATCATATTACTCACCCTCAGGCCGTCCAAGATATAGGTGACATTTTTTTCTTCAGTAGAACAGTAAAGAAGTTTTTTTAGTGAAACCGTTGCCCTTATTGGCAATTCATACACTGCACATCTGTGGCTGCCGGTTTTGAGAGTCAATAAAACATTTACAGACAAGACCAAATTAATATTCATGGCTTTGACAATACATTGACGTCTCATTGAGGACTTCATTGAGCACAAACGTCCTGTCGCATAATATAGTATGTGCAGGCGCATACTCAAATGGTAGCTGATGCTGTTTGTTTACAACGAAGAGTGAGGACTTGTATGCAGACGGATGTCTGTTTCTAGTCTGTAAAGTTCTACATGGTAGTCATAATTAACATCTAGGTCACCTGTTGTCAAAACTAAGAAACCTCAAACTGTGGAGTCGCCAGTCAAAAAAAGAAAGCGACAGACGTCTGTGCTAAAACGAGAGTAAATATCGGCATGGCTTTTAAAAGGTGGTGAAAACTCAGACAGCTGAAGGAATTAAAGACTGATGCAGATGGCCTTTTTTGGCTGAACAGGTAAGAGATTTCAGTGGCTCAATAGGTAGCAAGCTATCACTAGCGCACTTGTTTGCTTGATTCAGATAGGTATTGAGCTTCCTTTGTTGTTGTTTTTTTCTCATTTTGCTATAGTCAGTGAGGTAAATTACACTTACTTTCTGCTATAGCTATGTGCGTGAGAGAGCGCAATTCTGCTCTGTAATCTGTGTGATCTGATCTGACTGAGCAATCGTTAGAACTAAACCCCAGTAACGTGATTTATTTTAAAACATTTATTTGGTCAGAACAAAAGCATCAGATAAGTTACTTGTTCAGATGACATTTTTTGGCAAGGGCTATGTCTAGTGTAAAATATATGGAAATGACAGATTCGCTCTGATGTGGTGATAACAGATTCACCTAATTACACATTTATATATTTAATTTATATTACATATTTAGTTTTTATAAAAAAAAAAATTCTAGATGGTATTTCATGAGCCAATCACATCACATAAACAAACATTATTTGTTTATGTGATGTGATTATTTTAACTATTTTAAGATAGTTATTTCTATCTTAAAATGTCAGAAACCACAAAACTACAATTTTCTATTATAATATTTGTTGAATGTGTCAATTTTTTTCATGACACCCACTTTAAAATTCATCCCAATTTGATGGCTAGAAAAATATAATGCGAAGAGAACGCTCCCACCTGTATAAAGCTATTGTTCTACAATCAGATCTAGTGTCGCACAGATAAAGCGTTTTACAGATTGAAAGGCAATCTCCTATGACATGAGCCCTCGTGCCGGTGAGACTGAGCAAAATGCAATATCCAAACCCCTCGTTCCCAAACAAGGCCAATGGATCGACTGCAGTCATAATTCAAATGTTTCTGTCAGAGCTGTCACACAAGTTCTTGTGTAATTGGAATGATTCACTTTCGGGAACCACTTCAAAAAGAAGTGAAAATCGATACGGTGGAATATGAAGCATCCTCACTCAGACAACTAGGGGAACACATTGACGCATCGCAACCTCCTTCTCTCCTTCTCTCTTCATCCATCGCTCTGTCTGGTACAACATATGTTTGTCAAATCCTTAGTTCTTTTTTAATGAGTGTTCATTTGAATGATTCACTGATATTACACTGAGACATATTACACTGACACTTGAATTTACTGTAATTTTGCATAAAGAATATTTCATCATAATGAATTCTGCACATACAAATCCATAGTCCATTATAGCACGAAAGGTTCAGAGAGCACATTAACCTAAATTAGGCTCTGTACGGCACATTATATATTGAACAGTCCATTCAGTGCATGCACCCTCATCAATTATGTAAACCATACATAAA